TTTCTGAAAAGGCCCTACACACGCTTCTGCCCTTTTGTGTTACGAATTTATGTGAAGCAGCATTCTTAGCACTGATGATTACAAAATAAAAATATCACCCAACTTTGAGAAATGTTGAAGGTGTTTTGTTTCCTACAATACCAAATAATAGGTAAAGATTGAATTTAAAATTTTTTCACTATATGCAGATTTGCTTTTGTCTTTAATTAGTGGTAAAATTATATGTATACCAAAGAATTTCTCTGTTTTCTGTACAGTACTGGGGATTGAACTCATGGCCACACCCATTCCAGCAAATGTTCTGTAGCTCAGCCATATTCCCAACCCTTTAAAGAATTGTTTTAAATCAAATTTTTTTTATGATTTATCATTAGCAAATGTTTTATTTGGATACCTAATTTACATATCTATATACCTGGGGTCATGTAAAAATTACCTGGGTGAAAGGGATCACGAGTGGAAAAAGTTTAAGAAGCCCTGGGGCTGGAGAGATGGATCATTGGTTAAGAGCACTAGCTGCTCTTGCAGAAAACCTGGGTTTGATTCCCAGCACCCACAGGGTGGCTAACAGTCGTTCATAACTCCAGTTCCAGGGGATCTGACGCCCTCTTCAGACCTCTGAGGGCCCTGTACCTACCTAGAGACACAGGTGCACCTACCTAGAGACAGGCAATACACTCATACACATAAAATTAGTAAATAAAATATTTTAAAAGAAACCCTGATTTAAAGAGTAGGACAGCACAGTCCCTGTAGATGGACAGGCTTGGGTTTAAACACAGGTTCTTGTCACAAGCTAGTGCAAGCAGCTGGGTAAGATATAGGAGCTAAGACGTAGAAAGCCCTTAGCCAGATCTTTGCACACACTTGGTGCACAAGCAATTAGCTGTTCCTGAGGCCAGTGCCCAAGACCACGGCGGGTGACAGGACACAGGAGAGGGTGTGTACCCCAGTTCCTGTCCAGGTTTTTCCTTCCCAGCCTCTCTTCCCTGACTCCTCTAAAGAGGACTTTACGCCGTGTGAGCACACACCGGAGTGGAACTTGACCATCTGCGAAGTTCCCTTCCTCCTGCCCCTCACACACCCATCATAGTCTTTCTTCCCATAGAAAAGCTTGAGATTATAACAATAATCAAAGTGGATGCTTTACAATCTGTCAAGTGATCGCAGTCAAAATAGGGAAAGAATGGGGTTGAAGGTGATCTGAGACTCATACATTTTAATTTTGCTAATCAGGAACCTGTCAAGTAGCTTGAATGTACATTATCTTGTCACTGAAAGCTGCTGGGATTGGGACAGTCTCACAGGAGCTATTCAGTCACTTCCGTAGTTCAGAGAACAATTCTATGAGAAGCCGTGCAGGCAGGGAGACACGCCAGGCCACTATCAAAACCCTGGCACTCTTCTCAGAACCATTAGCAGAGCTGATGATGGACCAACTGGAACGGCAGCCCTCACTGAAGAGGAAGTGTGCAGGAGGGAAGAGGGGAGCCTGGAGGAGGGGGAGCCTGGAGGAGGGGGAGCCTGGAGGAGGGGGAGCCTGGTATCCCCTTACTGCGTGGCTGGTGGCTGGTTTTCCCCTGCCATGGCTAGAGATAGAATGTTAAGAGCTCACAGGAACACAGCTCAGGCAGGCAGGGAGGGAACATGTCATACACACAGGAAACTAAGTATGGGTATGAATCTATGTACTCAGGCATGCATGTGAAAATACATTTGCCTTTGACACATGAATATGGACTTGTGCCCATACTTGGCATGTGACTGCGGGCATTTAAGTGCATCATGCGTGTGCAGTTATATACATGTATTATTGAGGGAGAACTGTAAACTAAGTGGGTAGAATTTGACATCTGATCGTTTCCTATGCACAGGTAGTAAGTGCCTTCCGGCTGTGCAGTGTGGCAGAGTACACCACCCATCTCCAGCACAGGGCCAGGGTAAGTCTGTATGCCACACACCTCAGCTCCCTTCTAGGTACTGCGGGGGCTTTTATGGATCTGAAGGGTCGGTCAGTCAGGAGGCTGGCCCAGCACAGGCGTGTGGCTCAGGCTGAGCAGAGGGGCTCTGCTGTCAGAGCCGGGAGGAGCAACCAGCACCTGGTTCCACATGGCCCTAGGGATGTGCTATCAGAGGGCCGGCCGGGGGGCCAGGGAAGGGACAGTGGCTTATCAGTACAGCACTCCTTGCTCTAGAGCTGGCCCTTCCCTATCACACTGGTCTCCTTACTCTTCTCCCCCGTTCCTCTCCTTCAGAAAGCCCCAGCAGGTAGTCTGGGCTGTGAGAGCCGAAAGTTCAAGGCCAGTGCTGCCAAAAAAAATCCCGACTACTTCGCAGGGAGCTTGACCTTTACTTAAGCACATCTACCATGGGTTACAGCTTATGCCGGGTGACACCATACCAGCCACCTTGCATGTTCAGGCCTGAATTCACATTCCTGCTACTTCCAAAATGCCCTGGTCCCCACAGACATGTGGGGAGGCCTGCTCATGCCGAGGTCAGCTCCTAGGCCTTCCCCTTCAGGGTTCTCTGAGCTTTCGATCACGGTACTGGGATTGAAGACTCTAGGTGGAACCACGTGTTGCTCTGGCTATCGGTTCCTCGGTTCCTATGTCCCTGGACCCTGCACTGGCAGACACATCCAGGCACTCTACCAGGGTGAGGGGTGACAGGTGCCGCCTACCTGTACAGGAAAGGAGCAACCGTGGCAGTGTTGGGATGGCTGTATTGCTGCTGGGGCTGAGGTAGCTGAACACTGACGGTATGGCTTCCAGTGGTCTGGGTGGTCCCGACGGAGCCGCTGACGGTCTGGCTGCTGATGCTGTGGTTCAGAGTGGTCCCCGCCGGGCCTTTTCCCTCCGAGGACGCCAAGCTGGAGGAGGGGCTGGAATGCCTGCTGTCCACTGGGGGCTTCTGCGGGGCGATCCCCGAGCTCGGCTTCCCGCTCCGGCTCCGTTCCCCTTCCTTGGGAGCGGCGGGGGCACTTGGGGACTTGCCCGGCACACTCTTCATCCCTGGTTTTGGTATCCCACTGTGGGAAGGGGCCGTGGCCTCCTTCTTGGCACTGCTGAGCTTCCCCCCTTTGGGGATGAAGCTGGCGATCTTGGAGGACTTTTTTGGCATCTCGGTCACGGCCACCGCGCTGAGCTCTTCCTGCGCCTCGTCCTTGAGGTCGGGCCTCTCGGCCACCGAGACTCTCTTGGCGAGGCCCTTGTCCTTGTCCCGCTGGTGCTTCTCCTTCTCGCTGCCCTTGGGGGAGCTCTTCTTGTTGGTCAGTGCCCTGCTGAAGGTGCGCTGGGCGATGCCCTTGAGTGCAATCTTGGGGCTGCTGGACGCGGGGCCCGGGGTGCAGAGCGCGCGGCCGCTGGCCTCCAGCTCCTCGGTCTCCTCGAAGCTCGGCAGGATCTCCAGCCGCTCGCAGCTGGCGTCCCGGGACGCAGAGCCCTCCCCTGCCTTGGAGCCCCCTTTGCTGTTGAAAAGTTTGAGCTTTTCCAGCATGGACTTCTGACTGTTGGGAGGCGGCTTCATGGCTTCAGGCGCGGGCCTGGGGGCGTCGGGCGCAGCGGCCTTGACCGACAGCATGGACGACGTGGCGCTGTGCTTCACGCTGAGCGACTTGCTGCGCCAGGGCTTGGAGGCCGAGCCGGGCTGGGGGATGGCTGAAGAGGGGCAGCTAGCAGGGACGCCGGGGCTGTTCTCCAAGAAGGCAGGTGCAGTTTCGCTCATTCCTGGGTTGGAGGCGGCTGAGGCTGTCGATGGCTCTGCAGAGACAGGGAAAGGACAGAGTCCTGAATCCTACCTGCTGATCTGCACGGGAGAGGCGGACTGTTCAACCGCTGGCTACCGAGTCAGTCATCCCCACCCAAATGCCCCGCGGCTCCATTACTGGAGGCGTGGATTATCTGTAGTTAAAATTCAAACCCAGCACATCCTCCTGTTCTCCACCATGCACACTTCGCACCGCCCCTCCCCCAACCCCACCAGCTTGGTTGTGTCTGCAAACACACGCCAAACTTCTTAAAACATGATTTATTTTTATTTTATGTGTATGAAGGTTTGGTTTGCATGAATGTAGGTGCACCTGTGCCATGTTATGCCCATGAGGACTGGAAGAAGGCATTGGTATTTCTGGAACTGGAATTACAGACAGTTGTCCAGCTACCATGTGGGTGCTAAGAACTAAATCCAGATCCTCTGCAAGAGCAGCCAGTGTTCTTAACTGCTGAGTCATCTCTCCAGCCCCTCACATACCAATCTTAACAGTAACACGCATGGCATAATTAAAAATTCATATCTAGCCAGGTATGGTGGTGCACACCTTTAATCCCAGCATGCTGGAGGCAGAGGCAGGTGGATCTTCTTGAGACTGAGGGCAGCCTGGTCTACATAGTGAATTCCAGGTCACTTGGGACTACAGGAAAATCCTACCTCAAAAAGAAAATGCAAATTTATGGAGAAGCATACAAAATCTTGTACCACCACCCACCACTACTGTGGTGTGCCAGAAGTGTAGGAAATAACACTACTTTAAATTATTTAATCCAGAATTCAGTTTATGCACAAGAATCAAGAAACAGCCAACTTTTAGGGAAACAATGTAGCAGACATTAAAATAAAGTAGGCCAATAAATAAAGGAATAAGTAAACAAAAATAGAAAAGGAGGTGAAACGAAGAGGAGTTTTTAATGAAGGAATAGCTACCCACAAAATTTGCCATGTCCTATCAAAACACGTAAGCTTGTCCTGTGTCGGCACTTTCGTAGACATAAACACGATCCAGACTGGATCTTCTTTACAAAGACCTTCTTTTGTCTAAGAACATAATCTGTGCATATATATGGCTTTCTTAAGGCAAGAAAACACAGGTTATCTGAAAGTCAAGGCTTCCCCTTTGGCTCAGCATGTTTCCCTGCCCAAAGTCTTTTCTCACAAATGCCTCAAGATATTTCTAGACAAGCGCCAAGACTATTCTGGGAAGCGCAGGCTCCCCACGGCTCTGCTCCTCACCGAGGTGGTCAGGCGTCACAGCCTGGAACTGCAGCCCCTTCAGGCAGTGGCACTGAGAAGATACAGCAGTGACTTCAAGTACCCACTGATGCTGGACAAAGTGGCCAGAAAACAGAGGAATCACACTGTACTGAGCCGCCCCCCCAAAGCCCAGCCCCATCAGCCCCCTATGAGGGACTCTGTATCCCCAAAGTCACAGTAAATAGGACTTACCTAGCAGCGTCCACTTGCTCCCACAAGGATTCCCTAGGAGAAACTCTGCAAAGTGAGAGGCTGCCTTTCCAATTGTCACAAGTGTTTTCGGTTAAACTGCTCATGTTTCTAATTAACTTCTGTCATCCGCAACTACTCCTGTGCCCAGAAGCCTGGCAGGATTAACGGTTGCTTCCTCGGGGGCGTGCTTTCTCTCTCTTTTTTTTCTTCCTAATACCTATGTTCCGCTGCTCTCCAGCAACAGAGTAAACTGTGTATAGAGCGGCTTTTGATGATTTAAAAGTCAACGGCTGCAGGGGCTGAGGCCGGGTGAAGGCAGCCCTGTGTGGGGTGCAAGCCACTGGGAGCCAGGCAGCCTGGAACTGGCTCCTTCAGCTCGCAGCTGCGTGGGGAAGCCACAGCTCTGGGTGATCTAAAGCAGACCTCCCAATGTTTTAAAATACATCCATCTTCCTCACTTACCAGGGGTTTGGGTTGGGAGGGTAGAGTGCTGCATAACTCTCCCTACCAAAACTCAAGGGTGATGCTGGATCTTTTCCTGGGCAGAGCCAGAGACTGGCTTTCAAACTAGCTCTGGGAGCCCACCCAGGCCAACAGCCTGTCACAGGGTCTCCCCAGCTTGGTACTGTCTCCTAAGAGGGAAGGGGCACTCGTAGGGATCTGGAGGCACAAATCTCAGCATATTGTCAAATGGGGCTCTAGCTCTCATTGTACAAGAGGAAAGGAAGGCCAGGGAGGGCTGAAGAGGTCTTCGTCATCTGGCTAGAATGGGCAGATCCGGGATTTGAACCCAGATTTCCTGACACAAGGACTGTCAAGGGCAGCAACCTTCATTTTTTTTTTTTTTTTTTTTTTTTTAAAGGCAGGGTCTCACATATCCCAGGCTAGCCTTGAACTTGCTATGTAGCTGAGGATAACCTTGAACTTCTGATTCTCCAACCTCCACCTCCCAGTGTACATCACTCCTGGTTCACAAAGTGCTAGGGACTGAACCTGGGGCTTTGTGCATGCTAGGAAAGCTCTCCACCAATTAAGTGTCATTCCCAGCCCACCACCTCCTTTTTGAAGAATGCATGCAAACAGCAGTCACTTCCATCCCTACCGCATTCTTCTGGCACTGTCTCTCCTGGCTTATATGATGGTGACACCCATGGTGGGACCAGCCATGTACCACATCAGGAAGCAGCTGGACCACAGAATAAAGACCAACATTCCAAGGGACAACTTCCAGGAAAACTGCGTTTCCCTTTACCTAGGATCTTGTCAAGGGCCAAGTGAAACATATACCCATCAATCCATTCATCCATTTACTAACTCATTCCCCATCCATCCACCCACACCCATCCATTAACTCACATCCATCTATCCATCCATCCATCCACAGCCATCTACCCCAATTCATCCACTTACCTACTCATTCATTCATCTGTCTACCTACTCACACCCACCCATTCATCCTCTCACACACATCCATCCATCCATCCATCCACCCACCCACATCCATCCATTCGTCTATCTACCCACCAATCAATCCATCCACCCACATACCCACCCATCCACCCACTCCCATCCACCCCAATTCACCCACCCAGCTACTCATCCACTCGATGAGTTCATTGACACCAGCATTCACTTACTCATCAAGCACTTCACATGTGCTAGACGCTGTTCCAGATACTTGGGATTCATACACAACAGAACAAAGACTCTGCCTTTACAGACATTACATTTTAATGAAAAGAAACGGGTAACTATTAATAAATTATATCATTCAGAGGAAAATAAACGCTAAGAAAAGTAGATTTGGGGGTAGGTTGCAGTATTGTTCTTGTAGGAGCTGCAGGATTACATTGAGATACAGCTCTTTCCTAAAGCAGCTTTGGGCACAGCGCCCACCTGTACAAGGATCAGCCAGACATTGATGGGGACTCCTACGAGCATGCTCGGTAACTATTCTGACCAGAAGCATGCCTACGGGCCATTTCTATGCGTTTTCAACACTAACACTCGGCAGCTAGAAATTAACTTACAACTATGTGGCTAACAACTGACCCAGAAGGAAGTGTTCTGCCTCCTGCCCCCATCTGCCAGATTCACTGTGTCTCCTTCAGAAAAGGTGATGGGCCCAGGGATATTACACAGTCACTTCTTAGGCCATGACACAATAGCTCCCAGGAACTCTGTTGTGTCTTCCAAACCCCAGTTCAAATGCCTCTTCCCCTAACAAGCCACACTGCCTGGCTTTCCCTACTACGGCTTCCCAGGGACTCTGTCTGTTCTAGTTTGTTTCTCCATTGCTGTCACAAAACACTCTGACCACTACAAACTTGAGGAGGAAAGGGTTTGTCTTACATCTCCTGGGTCACAGTTCATCTGGAAGCCCAAGGTAGGAACCTGGAGGCAGGAGCTGGAGCACAGGCCATGGAGGAATGCTGCTTACTGGCTTGCTCCTCTGGCCCCTGGTCAACCTGCTTTCTTATACAACACAGGCCCACCTGCCCAGGGGGTGGCACTACCCACAGTGGGCTGGGCCCTCCCACATCACTCAACAATCAAGAAGATGCCCCTCAGACATGGCCACAGGCCAGTCCAATGGAGGAAATGCCCCAATTGAGGCTCCCTCCACCCAGGTGTGTCAAATTGACACTAAGGCGATCCAGCACACTGTCCAAACCTCCCTCAAGCAATGGCTTTGGAGAGCCACCTGCTGTGCAGCACGTGCGGGCACGCAGAACCGAACACGATACAAGTCAAGCCCTCTAGGAACTCTGCAGCCAGGGGTGCAGCAAATATCAAAACCAAGCACAGGGCACAGTGGAGTAGCAGAGGGACTGTAAGGAGAAGTGGATCTACCAATTCTTCCTGGAGTTTGGGAAGCCTTCCTGGAGGAGGTGACCCTTCAACTGCCATGTAGTAGTTCTGTTATGAACTGGTTAGCTACTCCTTTATTTAGTCTGATGTCCACTATGGCAGAAGCCCTCTTTTCTTCATGTAACTTTTCTTCGTGTTCCAAAGCCTATCCGAGTGCAGGAACAGCCAGTCAAGGGCTTCTGAAGGGCTTGCTTGGCAGATCTGGGGTTTATAGTTGTTTTTTTCTTGAGACAGGGTTTCCCTGTAGCCCCAGTTGGCCTGGAACTCACTATATAGACAAGGCTGGCCTCGATCTCATAGAGATCACCCTGCCTCTGCCTCCCAAATGGAATTAAAGGTGTGCACCACCATGCCCAGCTTATATTGGTTGGCAGATTACTAACCACAAATCACATTTTCAAGCCACATTTAAGGCAAAAGAAATGCAGGTTTTACCAGGAGTCACTAAACATTTTATTAAAATTTTCAAACCTGGGGTTGAGGAAATAGCTCAACAGGTAAAAATGCTTAATGCAAAATCCAGATGACTTGAGTTTGATCCTTAGAACCCTTATAGAGGTGGAAGGAGAGAACCAACCCCACCCGGTTGTCCTCTGACCTCCACATGCACAGTCACACAACAGTAATAAATAAAACAAAACAGCTTTCAAGCCTAAATTCATGCACTGGA